CAGCAAAATGGTACATACATTTCATCCAACGTGGAAGAAGTTACATCATGGGAAAAAATAGCAAATAGCAAATGGGGGTCTGGATACCACATGGTCATGCATAAAACCGAGGCAACGAAAATGAAGCAATGGCGGCTGGCTGCTGTAGGATTTAGCCTTGTAGTTTTACTGCTTGTAGCAAATTTCAGGTAAGCTATGGAGAGTTATGTTCAAAAATTAAAAATTAGTTTTGAATACGTATTCGAGTTTCCCTTGCTGCCGTAGCATACAGTTCAGGAAAAGGTCCAAACGTGGTAAAGCACAAGAAAATCAGAGAAAATCCATTGTTATCGATAAGATATCCACTTCAGCTGGTCCAGAAACTATAAACACAAGTTCTGTGGGTAAGTTCTGTCGGTTGGATGATACGAATTGACATATTCGTAGTTTTTTATTCACTTTACATTAAACTGTATTCGCGTGCCAAAAAATTACTCGAGGAAATTTTCAAAATAATATTTAACTTAGCGGTAGATGTTGAAGTGATAAATGCGAATGTGGGTCCAGCTAGTTTACTTCGCCATTTTAATTCTCAAGCAAACATGTGCAAACGTTGACGTGTCAACATTCTATTCTATGTACTAACAAATAATGTACATTTTTTGTTTCCATGCGTCTGTCAATCGATGGTTCATAGTTACTGTAATTATAGTAATAGTTTCAAGTGTGGCAAGAACATTGATGTTTGTAGCAACTCATTTACATGTCATTGAATAAGAATAGCGTCTATTGTGTTATGCCTCGATCTTCAAAGCCTCCCGACACGTGTAAGTGAGGCGGACCAAAGTTGCGGGGTATTCTGAAGTTTAGCCCGCATTTTGAGGTCATCAGTGATCTACGGTGTATACAACTGAACAGACACATAGCTACATGGGCTAAACTTCAGAATACCCCGCAACTCTGGTCCGCCTCACTTACATGTGTCGGGAGGCTTTGAAGATCGAGGCATAACACAATAGACGCTGTTCTTATTCAATGACATGTAAATGAGTTGCGGGGTATTCTGAAGTTGCTCCGCTACATGGAAAATAAATTTCTTTAAGAATGATTCGGAACTTGTTTATTTTTTATGAGAGCTGAAACAACATGTTGACATATTGTTCTCTCCTTGGTGTGTGCAGAGAATGCAAAGATGATTCCAAATTCAGACTGTGGGAAGACTGAGGAAACTCAAAGGCTTGCTGAATGTGTTCATTGCAGTGATTATGAGAAGGTAAATCTTTTGCAATGCCCAAGGTCTATGCCATCAGTAACCAACAACTTCTCTACAGTACTGTTCATTGTGGTGAATATGCTGAACATGTGAATTAAAATCATTTGTCTCATAATGTAGTCACTTAAGATGTGGATCATAACATTATGACATTGTGACATTATGCATGATAGGAGTTTTCTTTAGACAATAAGATGGAATGAATTTGCCTCAACTTATCAACTGTCTGTTCAGCTATGATTGGGTGGAATTTCACAGCTGTGATTGGCAAATTTGGTCAAAATATTCCTTTAGATGGTTCTCATGTTCATGGTGGAATACTTAACTTGTTTCTCTGACCCACTCTTTCTTTGCTATGTCCTTTACATTCTTTGCACCCCTCAGGGGAAAGGAAACATTTTTTTTTAACAATAAAACTGAAGAATTAATAAATACTCAAAAGAAAGCTGGCAAGAAGTTTCTAGTCATTGATCATATCCCAAAAAAACCCTTGATAAATCTTTTTAGTCATTAATCATAACCCAAAATAAAGAGTAAAACAATCTCTATATACATACCCTTTACCTGTACTTACCTAGGTCAATGTCTGTACTGTAAGTCATGGACCAAGTTTTTTCCACTCAGGTTTACAGCCCAAGTAGGAAGCACATGGGCCATAAATACGAGCAGAAAAAAATTTTGTAACTTAACCCTTCAACCTCCAAGATCTGATTGCTAATTCTTCCCTCTTGGTACTGCACATTACCTTGTCAATAAGTTATTAGAATTTGGTGTTAGATCAAGATAAGATCTGCCTGATTATTTTGTTTATTCTTATTACCTGTTTGTTGGATAATGCATGGACATTTAGGGGAGAAGTTACATGTTAATCACTTGTGGGAGTTAAAGGGTTAAGTACAGACCAAGAAAACATGGTTAGAAAGATATTTATTATTTCTGTGTCAAGTTGGAAGATTTCAATGCAAACAAACTTTTGAGGTTAGCAGACCATACTGTGCGATATCAATTGCTAAATTTACCAATCATGATAACCTATGTAACTGAGAGATTTTAAAAACTAAAACAAAAGTCACATATAATCTTCTTATCTAGTGGTAGGTAGGATAAAGCACCTTTTTGATTAATCAACTTTATTATCTCTGGGTCAAGTTGGAAGATTTCAATGCAAACAAACTTTTGAGGTTAGCAGACCATACTGTGCGATATCAATTGCTAAATTTACCAATCATGATAACCTATGTAACTGAGAGATTTTAAAAACTAAAACAAAAGTCACATATAATCTTCTTATCTAGTGGTAGGTAGGATAAAGCACCTTTTTGATTAATCAACTTTATTAACCGTAATTAACCGTAATTGTTCTACAGTATGGTTAGGAACAATTAAACATTGATAAATTGCAACAAGTGTAAAACTTTGTGGGCTGTCTCATATGCAGCAAAACAAAAGTTTGATCATTTTACTCCAATAATGAAACAGCTTATAATAAGCTTCTTCCCATACCTGTGGCTACAATGTTTAAAATCAGGAATAACTTAGCTCCCCAGTATTAAACTGAGCTTTCTAAGGTGCATAGATATAACACTAGGAACAAAGACAGCTTAAACTTACCCAAATGCTGCACCTCACTTGCTCAACAGTCCTTCATACATCGTGAAGCAGGAGTCAGTAACACTGTTCCTTCTAATATCCAGTCTAGTCCCAGTGTAAGCTTATTCAAGTTTAATTTGAAGAAATATTTATTATCTAAATTTTTAAATAGCTAGTTTTAATCATTATGATGCTCAAGCAATATCATTGTTCTTCTAGTCTTTGTAATTGTATAATTTGTATATAAAACAAACTTATTTTTAGTACGACAGAGAGAGAATGACCTGGAGCCTTACAGTACCAACTTGCAATATGGGAAACTTGTAAAATGTGTCTGTTCGTCTCTTTTCTTTCCACAGAAAAGCATTAAAGGCTGTCTACAAACTGGGAATATACAACTTACATACTGTGTTACCTCTAATATAAAATTCTATGGAAGGTGGGTTTGAAACCATTGAAGAGTAGCAGTTTTTCTGGTGGAAGAACTCAACAAACCATCTTTTTTTTCTTTAGCTGTAGACATATTGCACAATGGGAGGAAAAAAAATTCTGGATGTTTCAGGTAATGGCTCCAGCAGTATTTCACATACACATCATAAACACGGTTTTTAGTTGCTTTTCAATAAATTTTACATGGATATCTCAAACTCAGTGATAAGAATACAGTCACATTCATTCAGTGAAATTATTTCACTTTCATTTGGGGCCAGGACTAGAGATGTTAATAGTTGCTTACTTTTGGAAACAATTTTTTATTATTTTGTAGATAATAATCAATGAACCCGTGTAAGGTCATGTCTCACAACTTGTGAAATTTGAGAATGTTGGCATGGGGTAACCAATTTGCATTCCACATAAGCAAAGAGATTATGGCATAGATAACTAAATGCTGCTTGCATTAACAAGTGTACCTAAAATTCACATTCCAGTGATCCAATTCTTTAGAGAAAAATTAAGCAATTTGTTGCAACATTGATTCTCTTTATGTGAATGTTACTGTTCTGATCTATCTGTAGGGCATTGTGTTTGTCATGTTAATAGTTTCGTCATCTGCGGTATGGTTAAGACAACGGCAACTGGATAGCGTGTTTTATCAGAAGGTTCAGAAACAAGTTGAAAGCGAAACAATATGATTATGGATGGATGCACAGGAATAGGAAAACTTGCAATAAAATGTGGAGTGGGTCGATGGATCGTCCTGTACCTAATATTTATTCAATTCAGAGGGAAGTACCTGGAGTTGGCCATTCAGTAGTGATTAAGGAGGAGGCAGATGCATTACCCCAAACTGATGAAAGAACAGCAGATGTTGTCCCAAAATATAATTTTTGTCAAGATTCCAACACATCATACATTAAATTTGTCTTTTATTGACATGCAGAGTGTCCATAACTGAGGCAGAAACTTCATGGTTTGCATGCGCTTGTCATCCCAGAAAGATGGAGAATAATATCAGTTTTCTGCTTTTTTAGGCTGAGTTATGGACTTTTGTAACAGAGAGTGGTTTGGGTTTGACTCAACACACCTCTTGAAATTCTATTTCAAATGTTCTGACTGATACTCTTTAAACCTACTTTGATATATTTTATTTATTAAAATGAATAGAGATGGCTGTCACCTTGATATACATGTACTGTGCATGTGGCATGCATTGTATTTTATTTAAGATGAATCCACTGAAATAACTGAAGTGCTAGTGAGAAACAACTCATTGTTTTGAAATAAAAAAAATTGTTATTAGAAATGATAGAATTGGAAAGAGGAAAATGGCTTTGTGTAGACTTAAATATGGAAAGACCTCTGTAGGTGCCAATAACTACTTCAGAAATTTTTCCTTTGGAATGATCCAGTGTATGTCAAGAAAGGAATTTTCTGTTTATTGGTACTGAAGCAGGATTGATATCATGCATCAGTTCAGATAAATTTTTATAGAACAAAATGTTTTGAGGTAGAAGTTTAACTGTGTTAAACTGCAGAGTAATGGTGAGTTCACTTACCTTTGCAAAATACATGGATGAAGCAGTTCTTGTGTGCACTATAAACTGTACATTCCCTCCTGCATGTGCTATTTGTGACATGAAAACATACTGTATATCTTTATTATCTGTTGCCATGCGTAGTACCAGTTGTTTCAAATACACACACAACTTAGAACTGATGAAAATATTTAGAAATATCCACTTTAATCAGTTCCCTCAGAAAAGTATGGATAAGACAATATAAATATGAATGTAGAGTTCTTCTCGACAGTTGCTGTAAATAAATAATTTTTAGTGCACATAATAAAGATGAAGTTTGTTGAGAAACTGTACGTGTTCCCATTAGTTGTTGTTGTTGGTTTTTGTCTTTCTATGCTGTATCAAAATTATTGTCAAAGACACTCAATTTAATAATAGAAATAATAAGAAAACAATGATATCTGTTTTTAACCGCAGTTGATGCAGTTGAATTATTAACTATCTCAAGATAAGCTTTTTCTCCAGACCTATATATTTACTGATAATCAGAAAGAAGGCTCACAATGAAGTTCTATAAATATCCTTTGGTTTTCTGATGCAATGCTGACAAGTCTCATTTTTGGACCTGACTGTCATTCTTTAACATCAATGTGCATATTTTTTTAATGCTGTTCTATATACATTTCCTAAGGCACTAGTACAACAATCGAGAGCCTCTTCAGTTGGTGATTGTTTCCTTAATTCTCATGAATAATGAGAAATTAGATGCCAATATCTCTGACCTGACAAAATGTAATTATCCAAATATTTTCATTGTTTACAAGACAATTGTTATTGAAAGTAAAAGCTGTGCAGCAGTAAATTCTTGAATTACTTAAGAAGTTCCCTTCAATTCGCTGACAAAAGGGCTAATATTTCTGCATTTTCGTAAGTGACAGATGAAGGTGTGCTTTGCAGATCACCACCACTCTCTTTGCTTTTCATATAGTTCTCTGCATCTGTTACCATTGCTTTAGCAACTGTTGCCACAGGTATGGATGTCATCACCAGTTCTAATAACAGAAGAAAACAATCATTGTTGGGATAAGAGATGAAATCAGGGTCAAATTCTTTAACCCTATTACTCCCAAATCTAATCATGAACTCTCCTTTTTAACTGCTACACATTTCCTTGTAAATCAGATGTGAGCAATAAGATTAGATTAAGGTAACAACTTCTGCCTGATAAGTTTGATTAAATCTCATTACCTGTTTGCTGGATAATGTGTGGATATTAATGGGAGAAGTTAAATGTTAATCAATTCTGAGAGTTAAAGGGTTAGGAGTACAAAGGACAAAGAGTACAAAGGACAAAAAATGCGAGAACAAGGCCTTAGTAGGCTGATGAGCCAAGAGACCTATGGAGCTGCAGGGCATCTAGCCTTTGTGGATTGAGGTGACTAAGAGTAGTCCTGTGGCCCCATTCTCCCCATTAGGAATGGACACAAAAATGACAATGATGATGAAGAGTATTACTACTCCTTGCATGGAATGCCTCAGTGTATTGCCTGTCAGGTTACCCACACAGTTTAATCAGGTATTGCTCACAGTGAAGCAGCACTCATTTAACTCTTTACACCCTAACATCAGAATGCATATTCTTCATACTGTTTTCCACACATTTCTTACAGTGCTTACAAGGAGAATTTGACCAACAATCAAGAGCTTCTTTAGTTGGTGATCATTTCCTCCATTCTCCATGGTTAAGGGGTAGTGCAGATGAAAGTAACCCAAGTTGAATATAACCTGCTCACTTACTTGCCATCTTCTCTACAAATCTCTGTTTGCTCCCTCGGTCAAGAAAACCAGGTCTAAAAATGCTTGTGTTTGGAAACTGCATGTCCTTCAATGCATTCTCCACCTGAAAACAGTTTCAAAAAACAGTTATCACTCTGGCCCAAATGTTACTGTTATTGCACAGATTAACAAAGGAAGTATGTAGTGCTTGTGTGGTGTCAATTCAGGTTCTCTTCTGATTTATTTTTGTATGCATGACAGAGTGAGGTGAAGAAGTGAATATCTCAGGAGAAGACAACAGTTATCAAAAACATACCTGGCCTTTTGTTTTCAGGTAGAGGAAAGAACTTGAAGCTGATGCACCTTGAGAAGATACTAAGGACACCTGAGGGACATCTGCCTCTTTAGCAATTTTTGCACAGTTAACCACATAGTCAAAGTCCACATGTTTAAAGGCAGCCTATAAGTATAAATAAAGAAAAAGAAACCTTTCTATGAATTAAATGATTTAAGTTACTTCATTAAGAAAACTGACCAGAAGAATGATTGGGAACTTCCAACCAACATAATCTGTAGAATAGGACTGTTCCTGCATGTGACACAGATTAATCTCTCCAACCTACAGGTTGGTCATAGTTTGAAAATTTTTCTGAAATTTCTCTCTATTCAACGACAGGTTCATATTGATTTTACACTCTGTCAAATACACTTATTATATCTCTGAGTTTGTACGTGCATAGTAATTGGTCATAGCCAATTCACTTTATGGTCCCTAAATTCCCCAGAATGGCCCCAGAGATATAATAAATATCGTACTAACCTCATTTTCTTGATCCATATCATAAATTATGCTACGTTGTTTTTTTCTGCAGGAATTAAAGGTCTATGCCCTTCATGGATGGGCCATAAAATCAGAGCAGAAAAAACTTGGTCTGTAACTTACAATACAAACTTGAACTTAGTTAGAAAGAGGTACCAGTATATTTCATCCACTAGATCTGAGACCATAACCCAGAATACTTACAGCAGATCCTGCAGCTCGTCGAGTTGTGCCCAGAGTACAAAAGAAGACATCTTTGTGCTTAAAATGTTCACCAACTGTTTCAGTGCTTAATTTCTCAAAGTCTGAAGTTAGAGAGAGATAATTTGTCTCAGGTTGGCATACGATATAAAAAATTGCAACTTTGGGAACCACTCAATAACAACAGTGCTTGAATTTCTAACATGAAAAATATTAAAATATGTGATTTTAGAATATACTTTACCTATGACATGTTGCTCCAGTCTTCCAGATTCCTCTTCAGCTTTTTGATCCACAGAATATTCTGAAGGGATTGTGGCATTTCTCCGACCCAAAGAAACAACTTTGGATATATTCTGAAATTGTTTATAATCAAGCAATTTTTAAAACACACAATATACATGGTTTTTAATTTATCACATGATTATCAGTACATGTACATGTTGTTGCCAACTCTTTTAAAAGGTTATAAAATCAAATCAAACTCTCCCATACTTATTTGAAATAAACTTTTCAATGATAGCCTGCCGAGTTTAGAAATTAAAATCAATCTTTAATCAATAGTATTTTTAAATTACTTTGACTGTTGTACTACTGCATTCTACGACAAAAAAGGCAAACAAAGAAATGACAGGAAATATTCAGCTTATCATTTACCTTCCGTGATTTTAAAGCATTCCAAATACACTCTGAAATTAAATCGACTTATTCAAAGATTGAGATTACCAACGATTAGACTTCTAAATATTCGAAAATAAAAATAAAATAAAATAAATATTTTCATGCACTGAGAGCTCAAAGATTGCATTATAGCAAAAGAAAAATGGTAAAAAAAAATAGCAATGACGGTATTTTTAAACTTTTGAACATACACAGTGTAAGGTTACTAAAAATAAATTATTGTTCATTTATTACATAAATGGGTCACGCCATGATCAAATAGTTGTGAAATAACTACTGAAAATATCACGATATAATCGTTTGAAAGGGATTATTCTCGCAGAGGCGAACCTTAGAGTTTAAAAGTTCTCCCAGCAAATGTTCTCCGATAGCTCCAGTAGAACCGATCATAACAGCCCTCATACCCGGCGGCTCAGCAGCTGCGTTCGAACCCGTAACATTTCCTTCGGCCATATTTCTCTGATACCCCAAGTATCATTGCGTGCTTTGCCTAAGCCTTGCAAGAGGGAGACTAAGAGCTAGCGATTGAAAAGCAGCTCAACCACCTTTGTTCCCTTTGTGACGTTTCTGAGGCTGACTTCTCCATACAAGATAGATTAATTCAATTAAAGCCATCTGTTCAGCCGAAATGTCAACGTAGGAAATAATAGTCTTTGATGTACATTGAGACAAGAGCCCGCTGAGGTGCACCATTAGATATGACTTTATCAATCCGTGACTAATCAGTAAGTTCGGGTGGCTTCGCATCTGGTAAAACCGATATGGATACAAATTTCTCGCGGACTTCTTTCAGAGCAAGGCATTTCATAAAAGAAAAGTGTATCAGCCTTCTTGAAGCGTTGTCACCGAACAATTCTTTAGTTGTTCACTTTAATTAACAAACTGTAGAATTCTTGATAAGTGGATCCTTGTTATCTGTGGGTATTCCATTGCACCACTTCAGACAATTACCCGACAGGTTAATTTAATCATGTTTTTATTTATCTTAACCCTTCATGGGACATTTTCCCATGGACAGGCGCTCTCCACTCAAGTTTCCGTACTGAAAAGTGTAACACAGGCAAGGGCGTCGAAGGGGCGGGTGGGGGGATCTAACCACCTGATTTGCCAAGAAAAAATGGAAATTTGTACTCATAAGACATTTAAGACAACCTTACATAGTCACAAATAGAAGAAATCCGCTAATCTTTGAGCCAAACCCCCTCCCCCTCCCCTCCACGTCTCCCATTCCCAAAATTGTAAGACCCTCAAGGGTTTGGAGGCAAAGGCTAACAGCCGACGCGTCTGTAGGTTTAGATTTAAAACAATGGTTCTTTCTAATTGATAACAAGATTATGGAAACACAGACTATTGCATAATTCCGCCTCAAAAAAATTTGTTTCTTACATAAACAAAAAGGTTGTCATATTTACAGGATTTTTTTTCTCATAAATCCCTTTTAATTCTTATTACTGTATATTTTGGCCAACAGCCATTATCCCGGAAAAAATCTCAAGTACTAGAGGATCGAGAAGGTTCCCGTAGTTACGTTTAGTTACACGAACTACAAGCCACGATCATTTGACGAGTTTAAGATTCGTGGTTATGAAATATGACTTCATTTTAACAATTCCCTAATGAAAAATAAACGTTTCAAAACTGTCTCTCTTGGCATTCTCCTCAAAGAAACTTATCTCAAATATTTTTTAGGGATCATCCAACGAAATGAATCTCAAAGCCTTTCCAACTCTTGAGATTTTGCCAGATTAAAAAAATAAAGATGACTGTCGCCAGCAATGCATTGAAATTTTCTAGAAACCATAAATAAAGAGTATTTCTTCAATGATAAATATGGCGTCTTGCTGTTAGGTTAAATTCAGACCGAGCTGATTTTGAGAGGTTTTACCAGGTGTATTACATCATGTAATGGTATTCTTATATTATCCATTAATGAAAGTCTTCAAAATCTGACTTAAATCAACCACATCTCCACACGAAAAAAAAGCAAAGGCACTATCGAGACATTATCCAATGAGTTATTCAACTTTAGTATGATTCATCCTCCACGTTGGCAGACGAAATTTGACCCCGTGTGGTATCATGGGATTTCTTAATGGCCACCTTATCGCAGATCTGCCCATTCTTAACTTACGTAACAGAAAAATCAAACAATGGTCTTTCCAAGCTTTTGTCTATTACACGTGAAATTATTTTAAGCGTTTGTTCAGAAAGGATACCAGGAATAAATCTCATCTGTAATAAAATACTCAAACAACCCAACAGTTTGTTTTTGACCCAGACGAGTGTCTAAGACCCTTGAACTTTTTCATCTGAAAGGAAAATCGACCTTAAATTTTAAGCAAATTTCATTGACAACCATGAACAGTGGAGCAAATTAACGAAACCATATCTTTTATCCGATGTAAAACTTCCTAACAATCCAAATCGTTTGACATATGCGACAAACACGTGCAACAGAAGAGTCAAGGTTGTCGGTCCACTGAGATCAGAAAGGTTTGAATCTCTTATTGTCTTTGTTAAATTTTCATGAGATAATAGCACTTGTTTCGACGTAACTCCCTAACAAATATCCAACGCCGATTAGAGTCATAGTCTGAGAAATGTTTCTGTCGCATCAAAGTTTAGCTGAATCGTACAACGACTAAAGCAAATTGGATTAAACTTCACATAAATCGAAGCATTAGCAATTTCAACTTAGACATGCGTGGCGCGGCGCGCGGGAACGAAACCGCAATTGTTCATTGCTTCGAGTACATGAAAACTCACTGAAAAATTGAAAACAGGTAAAACCGCATTAAATAGAACAGCGACTGGATTAACAAGTGGCCAGGTGTCTAGTTTCGTGGAAGGAAAATGATCCCTCACCCGACGATATTTCTTGTGAAGGGTCTCTTATGCATGGAAAGGTAATTCAATCTTGTATCTCCCGCAGGATCAAACGTTGAGGACATTAAAAATATTCACTGATCTATCGAGCAAAAAGACTTCAAGTACCGATTGACGTGTATTAGCTTTAAATTTAGAGAGACTGCTTTGTAGAATGGCAGAATTTTTAGCATAACTGAAAGATCAAAGCGGTAGAAAGTTCCCTAAAGCAAAATGTTTTGACGTAATTTGACTAAATTAATTGGTCAGCCTCTCGATGCTCTTGCTTCGAAGTATTTTTGTAGAAAATTTTCGTTCTGATATTTTTCTGCAGGTGCTCATGCTCTCATATCACAACACTCGCTCGACTCGATGCGTTTTTATCGCTCTTTTCTAAAGTCTCATTGGCCACATAAATTGCTGTTTGACTAAATAATTCTGTTACGCAATTCGTTGTTATCCAACTGAACTAGAACCTACTCAGTTTAAAATAGCGATTCAGTCAAACTTCTCATTTGCCTCTGAAGTTGTTACTGTTAGTGCTGAAATTAAGAGTAAGGAAATGAATCCATATGACTTTCCTATACTTGCGATTTTAATAAATAAAAATTGTTCACACTGTAGGTCTTCGGCGCCTTATCGAACATGCAATGATGTCATGTTCTACTACATATACTGCAGTTTCCAGTATTTTCCCCTCAGCAATAAGAGAAGTGATCAAAGTAAGCTATTGGAAAAATATTAAGTAGTAGAAATAACAATGGCAAGAAATTCACTGACTAGTGAGCCGAAGAAGAATGTTTTGTGAACCCTAATACTTCTACCTCATTGCTCGAAATGAAAAACAATGTTGATGTAGTTTATTCCTGCCTTTAGTTTGCTGTCTTTGACGGGGTTTAAGATTATAAAAAAGAGATTTGATGTTTACTTTAAAAGAATTTAAAGCAAGGAATGATTTCAAAGAGTAGGGCTTTCCATTTCGAAGTTTTTTTTGCCCTTCACCTGAAGCAACGAAAGCAAACACGTGGATCGACTCTGATTCTCTATGTAATGTAGATTGCACACAAAGTCACGACAACCCCTTCCAATAAACAACCGATTGACCCCTCAAAAAATTTGTTTTAGTTTTATTCAATTTAAACAAGATGATAACAAATTAATCGAATGTTTTTCTTTCGAATCAGCGAACCTTACGATTCGAAAACCTTTGACACAGGACAGGAAGTTTATAAAGCATGATCTCAGTCTTGCTGAAAGACTTGTGACGATGCCAAAGCGCAAGCCTTTGCCGTGTAAAATTTCACAATTTAAAGTTTCAGTTGTATTATTTTCCAGGATTTTAAAAACTTAGTAGAGAGCTCTCAGTTTAATTGCTTGATATATCATACAAAAAGGCAACATATTTCTTCAGAGAACAGAAGGTTACTCGAATCAAGAGACTACATGTTAGTGTCATCAAAGTTGTAAGCTTCACCTGAGCTAGTCATGTTCAATACTTGTTTATTCTAACGATCAAATTTTGTATAGTCATTCAAGGCAGCAAGTTAGATGCAGAGAATCTTTAAAGGTACAAAAGTTATAGCCTGGCAAATCAAGCCACAGAGCACAGACTCTTGCGATTTGCCCTGATGATGTTTTCAGTAAATACTGTCTTGAGATATTTTTTTAGGGAGGCTTTCTTTTCAAGCCTGAACATTGATAAATTAAATTAAAACTAAATAGCATCCACAGAAGTTACGGTCATATTACCAAGTTTGATAACTCAAACAACTCTTTAATGGATACTTTCATCTAAAATAAAAATCTGACATAAAGCAACATTATGAAATTGTTTTTTTAAGATGCTCTCGGTAGAAAAATGGCGGACGAAATGACAGTAAATAGCTTCGTTGACAGTAAATAACTTCTTTTCAAATCTTGGATTTTCTATGAGTAAACATCGGAGCTAAAAGTATGTTTTATAAAAAGCATAAGTGAGTGAAGTAGAGCTTTGCAGTCGAGAGATATTGAGACTGAATTCTTGAAAGAGTATTACATGCTAACCCGGTATGCTATAACTCTATGGTGATGTTGTTATAGTGTCTCAAAGTAAATGGGCTAAGAGCACGCGAAAAAAAGTTAATTTTTAAGAAACAGAATTGTTTGGGGAATGACAATGTTAAGCAAAGTAGTATGCATGTGAACCGCTGCAGGCAGAACATTTCAACTGGTGAGCAGAACTTTCATGAAGCACTGTTGACAGTTATGCATGGCTGTTTCATCTTTCACTGAGTTTTAAAGATCCAAAGCCCTGTGCTCGATCTTTTCCATAAGGACGGGAAACTTTTTCACTGAGATACATACTACCGTGTGTGGTAAATGCCATACAAATAGTACCCTTGGCTTTGGTGGGAAATAAAGTCTAGCACATGGACAAGCCTTGAATTAATGAAGTGCTTTATCTCTTTAAGGAGTCGGCCAGAGTTCAGTGTTAATCTTAAGGGCTTACGCTTATTATGGCCTAATTTAAAACTCCTCTAATACGGAAACTTTTATTTCTTGTGATCATTATCGAGTTAGCTCGCTTTTTGCAAACACACATGAAATAAAAAATAAAAACTATACTATGCTCATATAGAGCGTGACCTTTCAAACAAAGTTATACAGCATTCAGAAATGATATTTTATTTTCAAAATTCGACAGATTTTTCGTTCTTTGCCCAGCTCTAGGTGGTTCCAGCAGTTAATTACTATATCCAGTGATAAGAAATACCACGTCTATGTGGACAGTATTTGAGAGATTTTGAAGAGCAGAACTATATTAATGACCCGACCGTCTGTTGTTACATGTCCGACGCAACTTTTGTTTATAATCCATATCCAAATAATTATTTTCAATTTATGAGCTGCGTGCAATTGACTTTTCACTCCACATACTTATTTCAATATATTCGCTGTCTCTTTGTTGTTATGAAACGTTAATCTTGTAGAGCTTGCAAACGGTACTCTCTGAGGTGCACTGGTCAGCCATTGGTAACACAGAGGCCTTTGTTAAACTTAGACTGAATGCTCGAGGCTTCGCTCGACTGGTTCCCTTGTCCTAACACAAAAATAATGATTTATCACTGTGTCATATTCTTGTCTTCAGAAATCAATCTCAATGACCCTTCGTGTTACTATAAATGAACGGTAATTTGCTATTTTTGTCCCAAATGTTTTCAGTGATGTTGGTTCGTTTTATATTGTAGGGCATTAGATATATTTAATATTTCCCAATTTACGACTAAAAAGAAACATTCCTATTGAAAACGCTTCGTCCATTCTTAATTATCTCTCTGCGAAGATTCCCTAAATTTTCAATTAATCTCCGATTAGGAAAGAATGAAACAAATTATAGACAAATTTCATTAAAGTTTTTGTTTTAGCAACGAACGTCTGGTGTGTGGGGCAGTACTGTAAAATATCATTTGATACCATGTTTACGATAGCCCTTATAGAGAAACGAGTGGAAAAAAAAATACGCAGCCCATATTAGGAACAAAAATGCCATACATTTGAGCATATATCTTAATTCCGTGACGGCTTAACCCACTGCGGCTCAAGTGATCGATACATCATTCAAGGCCGGGCGTTTTTCAACATTGAGAGGCTTAAGAAGTCAACTAGCTTTTAATTAAACTTTCCGGTTATTGTTAATCGCTACCAACTGCAAAGGAATGCGTATTATCATCCATTTAAAGCAGAATGAGCTGCAAATCCATTTATCATCTACCTCATTGTTGATCTTTCATGGTCTCCAATTGCAGTTATAAAAAGTGTTCGTAAAATGCGAAAGTGTACATCCTTTTCAGCCTTAGATTCACAGAATCGTTTAAAGTATCCAGCACCAAGTGAAGACAACATATGATAGTAAACCGCTAAACTGTGTACTTCACTGAAAGGTAAAACCGCAAAGCGAAGGATTATCTTTTCCACCCGTTCTCTTTTAAGCTTCAGCACGCAAAAGAGACTTGAAAACTAAATAGAGGTTTATGAGTGCGACACAAGCTGACCTTACAAGTTGCTATACAAATAATATTGGACCATGTGGCGCCTATAATCTTTATTCCAAATAAAAGCTGATATTAGCGAAGGTTTCAGGATCGCTAAGGAATCAAGGTCACAAGGAGCTCGATGATGACGTAACAAGGTTGCTTATCAAGGTGCGAAACTAATTCGCACGTCTGCCACTTGGTTGGAGGTATGAGTGCTAACGAGATGGGGGTCGGACTAATGAAACTTAATATATTGGATGCATCGAGTAAATGTTTACCCTCTTGTTATATTCGATTTCCATGAGTATGACTTTTTTCTTGCTACTGAATTTTCTATCTGCCTCCTTGGTCAATTTATCAAGATTAATTCCGATCCTGATAAGGTCTGACATAGCTTTGACTGGATGCTTTTTCCAGGGAGTCTTCGCACACAGCGACTGACTGTCTGACTGGTTGACTGACTGATTGAGTGACTGATTGTCTGACTGACTGATTAAGTGGCTGACTGGACTGACTGGTCCACTGAGTTAATGTTTGACGGATTGACTGACTGAACTATCGTCTTACTGACTAACTAAATGACTTACTTGCTGACTGTCTTAATGATTGAGTAATTGTCTGAGTGACTAACTGAATGACTTACTAACTGACTAACTGACTTACTGACTGACTCACTGACTGACTGACTGGCTGACTGACTGATTGGCTGACCGACTGACTGACTGGCTGACTTATTATTAGTGATTGGCTGACTGACTTACGGACTGAATGACTTAGTCGCTCACTCACCTACCCACTGACTCGCTTACTCACCAGCAAACTCACTCACTCACTCATTGACGGATTGGCTGACTAACTGATCGACTGGAGGATTGTCTGACTGACTGACTGACTGACTGACAGACTGACTGAGTGGCTGATTGATAGAGTGACTGACAGCTGGCTGACCAAGAACCGACCACGTACTGGTTTGCCGACCTACTGGCCAACTGAAAGAATGGATGAATGGATAAATGAAAGAAAAAATGAAGGATCGAACTTGCTTGAGCAGTCAATTGACTCTATATAAACAAATGGTTTTACATTTGTATGCTTAAGGATTCAAATGACCGATAAACCTACTTACTAAGACATCTAAGAAGATAAACCCTAAGGTAATATTTCCTGCTTACTGTAAGACATTAATTTCCTATATAAAAGAATGCAGATTCCCAAATTGTGTTGGAGGATATAATGAAATTTTAGCAAAGTTCATAATCTTGTAAAATGCTTTTGTCATATGATTGTGCGACTGTAGTCGGTGACCTTGGGTTTTTAGCAATGAACAAATGCGGGCATAACATTCATTAACTCTGTATTTTTTTTGTTTTCCCCAATGTTGTATAAAAAGTAGCATGCGCTTCAGATGTAACTCCGTGATGAATTAACACCCGCGAGCTCCAGAACTTTCAAGCAAATTTTGGAATCTCAATTTAGCTGTACTCATGTGGGAGGCAATAGGCAAAAGTTACAACTTCAGCATTACAAGAAAAATTCCAGCAATGTTTTTTGATTTAATTTAATCACTTGCTTTGTTGACAGATATGAGATATGATCTTATTTATTCAACACCCTTGGGGACATTGACAAGGAATTTTCGGGGTGGTTTTCTACAAATGCCACCAAGAACTACTGATTAACTTGAATTGACAGACCTTGAATCTTTGGGCCAAAATTTAGAGGCTAAGGGTTAAAAACAAGGATTGCAAGATTTTCGTGCTTGCTGGTTCCACTGAGTAAAATACTCTTGACCTTTTCACGACATCGCGATAAGTCCTAGCTGCAAGTGATAGCTCTGGTGAAATTAATACTACGAAACTGACACTTTTTCTGAGATGTGATTGAATTGCAAATTTTTTCCTTTTTTTTTTTAGCTTGACTGTATTGTAATAAACTGTACCATTTTAACCCTCTGTTGATAATAGAGAGCCTTCTCAAACTGATTGAAGAGATATAAGCCCTAATTCTTAAAGAATTTTCAAAAATCTATATAAATCTGTTGCTAAACATAGACTATTGCAAAATCTAACATTCAATCCAGCACATCTCCAGACGGTCAAGAAATCCCTGCTCGACTTCAATCCCAGAAATACTGCGGCCAAGATACTGATATCCAAGGTGGGTCATTTCCACATATTTCAGACAGTAACCCAGAAAAAATCCTTTTAAGACAAAAAGCTCTTTAATTCCAATGACAATAAAGTTAATGTAGTTGAATATCTCAGTAAATGAGGATTGAATCATTCTTGGCAGAAAAATACATGCTGTAATTTGGAAGGCTTCATAAAGTTCTTCATGTCGTTGTTTAATGGGTTTTACAGTAAGGCGGAAGCTGACTTTTACATACAGCTTGGTCCACTAAGGGGCATAAGAATCGTCATTAATGCATCACCAGTCTCCTTGTGATGTGACTTGCAATATAAATAGTGGTTTTCTTTGATGAGTTGATCGTTTTGCTGTTCCAGGTTCAAAGTTTTTGAACTTTCAAGGTTAAGAATTATAGGAGCTGGAAAAAAACTTCTAGACATCTATTGGCATGAGACCGTTCGATCCTCCAAGTTTAATTCAAAAATTATTTTGTCAGGGTACATAAAACTGAGATTTGGATAGCACCAGTCCGGAGCTGTCTAAATTTCTTAGAGCGATTTTGTAGCGTTTTAGCAAAAAATAGACACAGTTGATCAGTACAGATTCATTGTACTGTATTTTCTCTTATTTTCAAGAGTTTAAACTTGAAATTTAGAGACTTACGGTGCTCGATGACTTATTAGGTCCATTTTTAATCACACTAATGCCCGGGATTTCTCGCTGAATTGGAGGAGGGCGTTGAGAATGAACAATTTGTCATCGCGTGTTTCTTTTTGTTTTGTCGTTATTTCAAAGACATGTTTTCAGAGGAAATTAATTACAACGCGCCCAAGAGAGTTTGAACAAAGGAGGTAACCGCAACTACAAATTCACTGCATTATTTTGTTACTAGGACCTTTCAGCTGCAGTTTGATCAGAACGATTCGGGTTGTCCGCTCGTCTGCGTCGTAAATATCACAGTTTACACCACCATTCTAAATGGTGTTGTCATTGGAAATAAACGGCAGTGGTCGAAATCTATTTGTCCTGAAAGCCTTGAATCCGCTAAAAACTCCAGCATTCAGTACAAAAGAGTATGACACGTGCAAAAATGTCTCAGATAGGTCTCATGCGAATATTGCCTCAGGAATCATTGTCTGTTTTGAAACACCCGATGTTCTAGTCTGTCGTTCCACTGATTTTACCTTCAGCTTTACTGTATCAGCCTCGCGATAGATCAGGAACAAAAAAATTACCTTCAAAACCGATTTACAAGACGTCCAAATTAACTAATATGAGCCAGACTTTTTCAACTTCAGTCATGTTGACCCATGCTAGCCCAGTAAAATACGAAGACGTGATATCCTGCTTACAAACTTTTCTGGCTTTACATAGTCTCTCTAAGTCACAGTGGAGAACTGAGACAACTTCAGACTGAGAAAAATTGACGTTTGTATGTTTCGTTTTTGCAGGTGACGCACTGGGGCCACTGAACTGTCAAATAACAATCAGAAGTCTGGAAAGAAGAAATTCGGGAGCAAGGTGTTATTAGCTCGAAAAATTTTGTAGAATTGTCAGCTATCTTACACATCCTTGCGAAGTTATAATCAGTTAGAATGCTACTTAATGATTAAAACTGTATTTACCACTGTAGAACACCCTCTAATGCTCTCAGTCATTTTCATTTATTTCGAAACAGCTGTTTTGATTAAAATCAGTTCTGATCCTATCCAATGGAAAATGCTAAATTTTCTACAAAATCTCTCTAAATTTTCTACAAAATCTCTCTAAATTTTCTACAAAATCTCTCTAAATTTTAGTTGAGTCCATTCTCGCCCCTTCGCCCTTGAGAAAACTGGTCAACATTTTATTTCAATTGCAATGAAATTCTTACGAGTCAATGTGAAAAGTGATTGCAAGTCCTTGAGTATGTTCACTGGGGTGAATTTCTGTGGCTGCTTTGGCAAACCTTGATTTAAAAGTAAAAAAACAGAGTGGACTGTGTGGTATTTTAGTCAGTTTAAGCTTTGAAAATGTATACTTAAACTGTAGTTCACCTGCACTTCATTACGCAATCTAAAGTGCAGGAGCTTAAAAACGTGAAACTCAAAATCACTGCGTGAAGCGAATTTTCCTCCCTACTGTTGTTTATGTTGAAAGCTGAATAAATATTCGACTTTTTGTCACGTTTAAAATGCGCAACTATTTTAGAACGGACAAGTGGAGGACTTGAATAAATTATATCCTGATTCAATGACAGAAAGCTATTAAATATATAGAACACGAAGGCAACAAAGCTACAAAAAAAGTGAGTCAAGAGAACCGTTTGTTGTCATTAGGACTTGATCATCTACCCCCATGTTTCTTTTAATTTTCTAACGGACCGGGAAATTGGTAAAACAACGCCTCTCTGGCGGCGGTTTGAAATTGCAGTTCCTAGTCTATTTATTCGAATATGATGGATGTCAATATTACCTGTCTGTGGTTTTAATTGCTATAACTCAAGCACGCAGAACAGTAACGTAAGCGACCTTCCAGAAAAGAACCAAAATAGTTTTGTTGTTAAATTTTTATTTGCTTCGGAAAACGGCCCTCAAAGCCGGGCACAAGTTCAATTTCACGAGCGAGTGCATTTTCCGAGAAAGACCCACTCAACCAAAAGATACAGCTAAAGTAATTTATAAATAGATCAGTGGGCGACGGAAGCTCTGAGAAGATTATAAGAGAAACAGTACCGCGTTTGGCTGAAGATCTGCCGCTTATTACGCAATACTTGTCGTAACTCTATCAGTGGCAAAGGAAGCATTGATGAAAGTTTACGAAAGCAAGCGATAAACTAGGTCAATGAGAAGAAAACAAATATCTCAGACAGGCTTGAGTATTTGTCTAAAAGGTTAACCTGAGTGACCGCCATTGTAATGCTGTAAGACTTGTTGTGGTTTCAACTTAATCTAGGAGCAGATAAAATGAATTTTGAATGCAGCCATTAAAGAAAACATGTATAGTTTTGCGTGCGGATAATGTGTAACAATTTTCACTAGGCTGTTTGGCATAGACATAATGAATCCATCTCAATAGAGTTTGCCTGAGGTTAAGAATGTTAATTAGTAGCCCGTGTGGATAACATCGAGTCACACGAACGTTTTAATTCCTTTTAATCCCACTTGCTCTCAAAGAGAAATAAATAACAGGCCTTGTAAAGTCTATCAGAGCTCGTTAAGGGGGCGAAAATCGGCGACAGTATCAGGCGTAGAGCTTTCAAGGTCGAGTTTTTTAAAGGTGAATAGTCATAACATAAAGCAAGCACGTCAAAATACAAAGCACCTTGGCCGTGTAATCAACGCTACCATCTACAAATTGTGTATAATGACTGGAATTCAACAATAATCAGCACTAAAAGAACACGCAAACTTGCTGCCTGTCTTCTCTTTTGCATCTTGTTGTATGTCCAACAGCTTCGAAGCGAAGCTTTCCTGAGCACCTGACACAAAAAGGTTAATGCCGACAATAGATTGCTATAATAAAAACATCGAGGGCAATTGTTTCGAGGTTCTCCGAAAGGAGCAGGGTTAAGACATGTTGTGGATTATTGTTATCTCTGTCCACTTCCCTCCATTCGTTTACCAATATTAAAACGCGGATGGAATATTTCTCGGGGCGATTTTTAGTAGGATCGAGAATAACGTAGATTCAGTGGTGCGTTTATGCAGAAGACTGTTGACATACAGCTGGAATGGAAATTGATCCATTTCCTTTTGCCATCAGCTGAAATTGCCACGAGGAAGTTAGTTTTCAGTTCACAAAATAAATCCATTCGAAATTCAAGCAGTAAAATTGCAATCCTTCCTTTAATAAAGAACTTCCACTTCAAAAATGAGACAAAATTTTAGTGAGACTGAAAAAAATTACATAAAGCTACGACAATGAGAAATTCAAAGAACAGACACTCAAACAATCGAGCAAAATTGCTTTTAGCTAATATACATACGAGGCAGACATTGTTGAATTTTATGAGTACACGACAAAATCCGTCTAGCACGCAAACTTTTAAATGGCTTTCCAAAGCCTTTTTTCACGCGATGAATCACGCACAGCTTTTTTTTAGAATCTCTGTTTCCACATAAAAGCTAGGTACTTCAAACGGGGAGAAACCAATAAGGAAAAGATATACCAGGGGTCGATAGGTCGATAATTGCGAAGCAGTAATGTGATTACAGCGTGTGCTCTACTGGAAATAGCGTGTATTGTTACAAAGTCAAAATCCCGCAAAAAAAAATTAAACTAACAGAAGAAAGATCACGCCATCACGCGACATGCAAAGCTGGGGCGATTCCAAACGGCTGTAACAATATTAAAAGAGAGATTTAAGAGCAGGAAGTGTGCAAAAAATTTAATAAAACTTAAAACAAATAGTGTTTTACTAGGTCGTTTTCCCAGCTTATTCAAGTCGCGGCTTGGATTCTGTGAGTGGCAAGTTATTACGCAAAAGTGGCAGAGAGTAAACATTGCTCTTTATTTTGAATAAAAACTGAGATCACTGAGATCTGTACAAAAGGAAGAGTGTTTATCTGGTGTCTGAGAAGATTAATACAATCCACAACAGCGGAGCTTTTAAAAAAATTCCGCCTTTAGCCACGTATACATCAAACCAACCAGTGGCTCTTTCAGTACGAAAAAGCGAGCCCTATACAGCCAGGGTAGTTGTCTATTATAGTTCATCAATGGCGAACTTGCGAGGTTCAGGAGGTTAATTTTGTAGTTTCTTGGTGTGATGTTTAACAAGTCTTTAACTCAAAGGTCACTTTTGATGTGTAACAGTGAATTGCATTCTGTCTTCAAAGTTAACGATCGACGGACAGTTGATGATTCTGTGCAAATACGCGACTCACGTCCGAGTTTTAGGACTTGACGCGAATATAGCCAAGAACGCAAAATCTGCGGATACAAAGTCGGTTGACAAGCGGTGAAGATTAAGATTTCTTGTGAGAAAGGAAAAATCCGACCTCTGCTTTAGCTTATGTGAAAACAAATATGTCCAAGAATCCGTCTTCTCGAAGTAGAGGTCATTTTTAATCGACAAAAACACTGTAGGATATCGATAATACAACTACATGCTTTGACCTCATAATCTAGTTGTAACTTCCCAAGCTTCTGTACACCAATAAAATAAATATCAAGAGATGTGAGTAGGGCATTTCCGTGTCAAAGCAATTATTTACGTAGGTCGCTCTCTTGCGGTGAGTTTTCCGTTTTCCTTTTGTGCACAAGGGCTATCGTAATATAAATACTGCTACTCATAAGATTACGCCACCAAACTCTCCCGACCTTCGCCAATAGTACAAGTCACCTCTGGTGATGTAAAGCTTATTCTTTTCTTACTCAGGGTGACAGTTTGCCAACTGATATTAACTTTAGAGAAAGCCATAGGCAATAGCTTTGTGTCTATTTGTCACTTGGAGCTGAAACACGGACAAAATACCAAGATGAAAACTTAACACTCAAAATAAGCCCCTGCACAGAAAATTGGCCTCGCTAGTTACAGAAACTGAGTTACAAATCGACCAACAGACACGCACAAAAAGATCAGCACAATTTACCGATAAATTTGAACCAGACTTATTACCGGAGCTAGCATTGTTTAACCGCCTAAATATTTTTGAAAACAAGAGCTTGTTTACACTGAGCACTTTTCGTTTTGGAAAACGATAGGACAGGTTCCACGCCTATCGGTTGTTTTCTCCGCGCATAGAGCGGCTATTTAATCCAGTTAAATTCGAAATAATGAGAGTAGGTCCTTGGACAAGCCAAGAGCCTGCGCTCATGTTAATGCAACGTGAAATAGTTTCTGGGATGTCTAATTATGCTTCCAAATAGCTCGTTCAGTCGACGTGGAATATTTTTATCGGCGTGAAAAGAAGTCCAATAAATTCGGCTTAACCGTTTCGATAAAGGCGGGTAATACGACCAGAAATGACTGACTTGTTTCTGTTATTTATAAGGCAAGAGATATCTTGACCTATGTCGACCAAACCAAATAACCCAGATTTCATATTTAGTTACTATGAACGAAAAATACGTCTGCATGTGATATTACCATTACCGCTTGCGGCGATGTATTTTTCCATTGCATGGACCTTGGAAGATAATTCTGGAAAGCCACACCACTTTTTCTCCTAAAAATTCTCTTTAATTTTGTATAATTTCAGTGATGATGTCTTGGACATTCAGGTTTTGGACACACAGTAAAGAAAATACTAGTACAATGATGTTGCTCTCAGCAACATGGCCAATTTCTTGGCTCATATAACAAAATCAAACACACGACGAACTCACAGTTCGAGGGAATGAAATACATTAACAGATAGCTAAGCTACGTCGCTGTCGAACGGCGATGAAAGAAAAACAAAACTATAGAACCTCTATAGAAAGTCTATTTTACCTGTCTTACCACGAGCCTTAGTGAGAAGACTCGCGTGGCGTCTACAATTGACAAAGTTATTTACATAACATAGTTTACTTCGAACCTCTCCGTAGCTATATCAAAGATCATACCTTTTAGTTTCACTCTGGAACGAGCGTTCCATTCTCTGTCCTCTGCAAATACTTGTAAAATACTATACGTTTCTCAAAGTACAACAAATATCCTCTATAATTCGCTAACTATGAAGATCACTAAAGGTTTTAAAGGCTCAAAGCCCGTGATTTCCTAACATTGAAATTTGGAACAAGACGAAAACGTTTAGTGTTCTTTGGAAGAACAGCAAGTGCGGCGCGGCGACCGGCCAAGCAACGCCAATTTGTCTCCGTGTCATGCTTCTTATGTACAAGGAAGATAAGGCCAGCTTGTAGGCGTTCCGGACAATAACATATCTCTAAGCAGAGTCTCAATTGGCGTTTTACCCACGAGACGCACAAAGAAAAGCTGTTCGACAATGGAAGGGTTGATACTTCGTAAAGATGGTAACCTCAACAACAATTTTCCAAAGCGAGTGGGTTGATTTGGATACTGATTTCTTGTATACTCCTCCAATGCACATTGTGTCTTTTCCTGCAGACTCTCGATGTACTGCGGATCTGTCAGACCGGAGGCATCTGCGAAAATACAATTATATTTCGTGACATTGCAAACTTGAGCTGATGTTGTTTAGCGGAGAGATAGGCGGGCAACACACTCCAAACAGCATTACTATTAATTTGCCGCGGTCGATGGATCAAGATCTGCTGATTTTCGCTGGCAGTTATGAAATATTAAAATATATTAGAAAACCACTTGTAGCTACAATTGTTGCGCCTGAAATTAAAACTTGTATCCTTTCAAATCATTCACCTGATGTAAAGAGGACGATAGCTTTGAGACACGCGAATTCTGCTGCATCCACATGGAGATTACGGTACTTCTCGACCTGCTCTTGGAAGATTCTTACATTATCCATAAAAGTCACCATTCTATCTGGGGACATGTGGTTCGAATGGATACCAGCAGTGGCCAACAGAGGGGCAACTTGAAGAGGCATCGGACATTGGGCGGCGTTTAGTACAAACAATTCACTCCAAACCAAACGCAGAAGTGCTACTTGATCGGTGACTGCCAAGTCCGGGAAGAAGGGAATATTTCTTGCCCATTCCACAGCGCTGAAAAGCAAACGAGCCGCCAATTCGCAGATGTTCTCGATGCCCATGATCCCACAAGGCATGTTTAGACCCTGTTGGAATCGCGCCGTGGGATATGGTTCGGCTCTAAGCAGCAAGCTGATGAATCCAGAAAGGAACGAGTGCCCGTTTGTAACATCAGCGCCATTCAACGCTGAGTGTTGCGGACTTGGCTGAGGTACTTGTGTAGGAGGGATGCGACCTCGCTGGACGGCTGTCGTGAAAAGGTGAAAAGGTTCATTCAACATGTTACTCATGCACTTACAACAGGTACTCACAACTATAGTCAAAGTGACGCTTACGGATTTGCTACTCATATGAAAATTTCTCACCCGTACCCTCGCGTCTCATGCCGACCTTGATGCATTTTCGCAGCCGGCAATACTGACACTGATTTCGATGATGCTGATCAATGGGGCAATTCCGCGATGCTCGACAAGTGTAGCTGAGGTTACGGCGAACGCTGCGCTTGAAAAACGACTTACATCCCTCACAGGTAAACACTCCATAATGTTTTCCAGAGGACTTGTCGCCACAAACTGCGCACTCTACTTGCTGCACATTTTTTTCAGACGGCTCCTCAACCGGTTCGGTCTTCTCCGTGCACCAGGTTGAAACAGGGACCACGGCCATACCACCCGGTAAATTAGGACTACGGATATAATTATAAATCCAACAGTTAGTGCTGTTTCGCGAGCGGCCCGTGTTCCTGTGATTAATCGCTCAGTAGCGAGAGATCATTGCACGCGGAAATAATTAGTGAGTTCCCAGCAGCGCGAGATCTCGCGTTGACTTACTCGACTAGAAATCCTTTGCGCGAATGCTTTTTTTCACGCTGCTAAGTGGCATATGTAGACGTGTAGCGGCAGAGGGGAGAGCACACAAGCGGCAAACAGTAGCTCGCTATGTAAAAACATCAACTGTGTCATGTCTGTAAAAGCTGAACTTTGACATAATCTGTTGGAACTGTCGGGTATCCGTGGAAACCACTGCTATATATGGTCCGGCTGTCAAATCGAGGTTCAAGGGCTCTTTAACAGTTGTGACTGAAAAATTGCTCCAGGGCTTAGGAACGTTCAGCCTGATTGCATTTATTTGTCACGAGGAGCGAGTGATTGGCCAGAATCGCCCTTTACTGACACGGCGAAGACTCTTTGTCTGAAACGTCAGTGTGGTTTTTTTATTTCTAACTTCGCGAGCTCAGTACTCGCGCCTTTATAGAACAACAGCTTCAGGCTATTTCGGCTAGACAACGAGAGAAATTTTAATGTCAGATTTACTGACCATCGTTGAAAATAGCCATGGCAGCTAGAACGGTTCGCATGACTATCATGCGTGAGTTTCGTTGGGTAAACAGCAATTTAACACTTTGACGTACGCACGTGAAACTAGATATCACGAACAAGATACAACGGCTACAGACTCGCCAAGGCGTTGTACGAGTAATTGTACCTTTTTCTCCGCTTACTCGGTTTGTTCATAGTCACGCCGGTAGATATAAAACAGAGCATTCCCTCCCCTTACGCGGAGGTCTTTTGTTCAGGAAACAAGTTAGAAATTCCATTTGACCCGCGTGTTATGATAAGACTTGGACTGTCATCGGCCGGCAAATTTAATGACAAGCCCTGATAACGGATCTTACAGATTCTAGATGGATAATTTTCACTTCTCCCAAAAACATACGCTAAGACACGCAACCTTTGAATATTTACACAGGCATTATACAATTCTCTACAATGTATTGTTTGAGAGGGCGATCCATGTCTTAAGCTGTGGGGTTCGTAGAAGCGGAAAAACATCGGAACCAGCGGGAAATTTGACCGATCGACGACAACATCGCACTGCCAAGTGCCACAAATCCTGGCTTTCCCAGAGATACAAGCTAAATGATTTTCATATAATTTGCATAATTAAACTGCGAGAAATACCAAGTAGATACTACTAAACAAAGATGTTTATTGAAGTTGATCGACCGCCTGCTATCAGTAACCCCGTACGCGAAATATCATTAAACCAAGTCACGCAAACTATAGTTTCTGAAGAAGCAATTTACAATGGTTAATTTTAACGACCTTGGCTATTAATCGACGTAAATTCAGTGCTAAGAGCCATTAGAAAACCCCAAGAACAATTATTGAGTTTTAAAACGGCTGCATATTTAAATAGCTTCAATCATTTTTTCTGTCGAATTCTCCAGTGCTAGCTAGACAAAGAGTCGCTTGGGTGCATTCTTTTAATAGCTCGCATTTTGCGCGGATAAAATTGCACCATTATAAAAACACTAAGAACTGATGATAATAGCCAAAAGACAGCTTGATGAATTGTGTTTATACAAAATTATATTTAACCTTGACACGCCAGAAAGGGCGGTGCTTAAGTCTTTGTTTCGCGTGCGAAACTAGATCCAACTTCCGCAGACACAGTAACTAAATATTAAACCCCAACAATGAGTTCATCTTGTTTTCTTTTATTTTTCCGTACAACGTAACTAGGACTATCTAGAGTGATCTCGCAAAGGCGTTGCAATTACCAGTTGCAAATATATAGATGTTGACATCAAACCGCGATAAAAATGCACTTGCTAGTTCCGCTTTTTCACGATGTTGGTTAGTTTGTTGACGAACACAATGAGGTCATAGAAGTTGATTATTGTGATCGATAGTGTGTTTCGACTGGAGTTGTACATTAGTTGATTTTTACGCCTAAGCTTACAATAGCTTCGCATTTCCGGGTCGTTTCGATTTCCCCCAGCTAATTTGCAGTGTTCACGGGCCCCCACTGAATAAAGAAGGCCAACATTTGCTAACAAAAGCGGAAAAATGACTTTGTCGCTCAAGATAGCGTTGTGAAATGTGTACAGAGCCAGTCAGTGGAGCACGTGGCTCAATGAATCCAAGGTTAAACGAAATTTCAAGCAGTGAAGCCAAAGGTTGAAACAATGATCTAATTAAAACATTACCAAGTTTAAGAAGAAGGAAATGCCACTTGTTACTAGGTCAAAAAGCTTTTCGACATTAATCTTGACAGGATGTTTCTCGCAAACAGTTTACGTAATGCAGCAGTTACCGCGAGTCTTAATGTCCCACTTGATGGTAAAAAATTTATCAAAAATGTTCTCTTTACCCAATTATTCAGGAATTTGTGGAGCGAAAATAAGTTTGGGTTATTTTGTACTAACTTTTAAGCCCACATAACACCACTTTGTGAAGGTATTTACGATGAACGTAACCACAAAGATCAAAGTTCGCAAAGTTTATCCTTTTGAAACAAAAATCTTTTCCCTCTAATAATTTTATGTGTGACCTGGCCTATTCAATACTGCAAACATTACCAAAAACTCTCAAATCCTTGAAGGTTTTGCTGTTAATGTAAAAATTATTCTCTTCCTCTGAATACAGATTATGATGGACAACTTTCCAAAGCATATTAAAATTGATATCTGCCTTTTTTGTCTGATACAAATTGTTCAAATTCTGAGATTGTCTACTGCAACACAGTGGGTGAACAAAATCCAATTTTCACGGTAACACCACAGGTATTTAAAGTCGAGAATCACATTCCTTTCTCTCCACAATAGCAAATAACAAAACCTGATTATAAAGAGAGAGCTATGTAATCCAATTGCAAGAGGTGTTTCTTAGCTAGTTACAAGGGGGGCTTACGGTGATGTCTTTGCGCGGGTTAAAATCGGCGGCGTGAAAATCCAAGAATTATCACATGGATATCATAGCCAGCTACAATAACCAGTAGCATCCATCCCACTCAATAATTGACAATCACCTTTGGTAAGAATGTTTCACAATAACACAGTCATTAACGGAGAAATGTGGTTTTCCCATAGCTTCTTCATCAACACTGTCCGCTTATTCCCTATGGATAAATATCTTGTTTTTCTTTTATACAACCAAAGCAAGCACTATCGATTTATTTTTCCCCAACGATGCAAGAAAAACTTGTTACCTTTCACGGAGTGAAAAATGTCCTTTAAAACACCTTGATATACTTATTACCTCACAATCTAAATTTGAAAGGAAGAAATCTTTATCAAACAACAATAAAAACAACAATATAACAACAACCCAATTAAAACAAGACAGCAGAAGCTTTCGGTCCATTTCTTACAAGTCGTTGCTAATGCCTTTTCTGGTATCTGGCATTTCACAGCTAATCCCTTGCCAATTTGACTTCTAAGGTTAAATATAAGAGCGTGTTTTCCAAAGCCATTATCTTGTTATCTCCAAATGATTAATATATTTGACACCCATCAACTTTTCGTCTGTCTGCCAATTCTTAACAAATGAACACCGCCCTATAGTATTGGAGATCTTAGCTTTGAGATATTAGCGCCCTTTAGATCAGTCTATTAATTGTATGGCTCTCAAATCTGACAGCTATTTTACATAATACCACAAATCTTAAAGAAAGCTGGAGCATTCTTCTGCTTCGCAGACCCTTTCCTAAAACACGTCTCCGTTGCCACTTTCCCTAAAACTTCCAATGGTCTCCATATGTTTCGTTCCTTAACATGGTTTTAGTTCAAAGCATGTATGTTACCCTTGGATAAAATGTTACCCTGTCACCGTGTTACAACAAGGCACAAATCGGACTTCACATATTATTTTACTGATCTAAACAAGTTTTTCTGCTTTAGATAGAAAGCGCACAATAGAAAGATAGATGGAGTGAGCACAAGTTGATCTGAAATCTCAAGCACATCTGTTGTCTGCCCCGCCAATACCAGCCTTAGCCTCCTATAAAGCTGCAAGTGAAATTTCAAGAACGATTCGGTTTCCTTTAGTGACCGATCAACAGAAGACTAACATCGCAAGAAAAGTAATATCTCTATGCTACGAAAAAAAGCTTCCATTTAGCATCATACATTCGTCGAGACTAAGAATACCCGCACGCGAGAAGATAGTAACAAAACTGATCAAAAACTCCAATATGTTAAAAAATTGAAGATAGTATCAAATACTCAAGAGAGTAGTTATGAAAAGCAACGCTATAAAACTGAAGTTTTTGAACTCTTTTCACAAATGTAAGTTGAGGCATTTTCCCCTCTCAACATAAGCGATGGCAAATATTGCTTTCATTGTAGAAGCAAACGAGAAAATGATATGAAGGGTGGGGCTATGAGCTGTACCGACAGGGAGAGGGCTTCGTCTCACATGCACCAACAGCGAGGGGTTCCGTCACACATCAAACCAACCAATAGGGAAGGAAGGTAAACGAGACTTCTTTGTGGACGATAATAGAACGGCTATGATACCCATTTGCAACGACCTATATAACTCCAAAGTGAAGCAATGCTGATAAAAACTTTTACTCAATTGACAAACGCTAAATAAGGATGAATTTCTCTTCTCTCCCTATCGCTGCCTAAGCTAGGTTCGTAGAGAAAAGTGGCATTGACTTTTATACTTACTAAAAGTCCTCCATTGATGTTCTGTTCAGAGAATTATGGTAGAAAACGTAGTTCTGGGAGTTTGAAGATTGCTCTCGACTCAAATTACCAGACAGACACCCACAGCTAAGATTTCTATTGTTTTAGGATCACTCAGACAAGAGCGACGAGAACGAACTGGGCAATCTTGCGGTCATAAGAACAATATAAGCCCTTTTTGCCTTAACAAATATTGTGCACGCCCACTGGCCACGTTTTTTAAACTAAAACAAACCCACTATTCTTTGGACTAAATCAAAAACTACTGCTGGAACAATTCAAAATAAATTCATTAAAAAATACTTTTACGACTTGTTTTGAAATAGAAAGAAACCTAACCTTTTACAAACTTCAACTACAAAAACAAACAAAAACCCGAGAGGAAAACAGCGCAAAAATGATTATATAATCAACGGTTACTCGTCACAATTCATCGCAATTGTTTTTTGAAAAGGAAAGCCTTCTCTTAATGAAATAAGTTCCTAAGTTTTTGTGAATGTTGTCAACGTTTCTTTTATTATAACGGAGTAGGAATTTAAGCGAAGTTTTCATTGATGATTTAAGAAAAGCCTGAAGATTCACAGGTGAAATTTGAGGACAACATCTTCTTTATTTATGTATCATTTCAAATAACTTCCCCTCTCTCAAGAAAATCGGAAACACTGACTCTTTTCATGACAAAAATGTCAGCAGTACCTGTGACAAAAGGAAGTTTTTAATTGTAGGTATCAATAAGTTTTTCCTCCATGTGACAGCTCTCGATTGAGGGACAGACAAGGGGAAGAGAAACAACATATAGGGGTTCTTTGCCATTTTCAAAACTGATTTATGTTAACGAGGAAAATCATTTAGATTCACGTTCGTTGAACCCACGGCCCTTTAGGATGTTGAGTTTTGCTTAATGGTTATCTAAGCACTGAAATACTTTGAGTAGACGATCTTGTACTTTGATGCATTTTACTGTTGCCGGTGACAGTGATTAATGTTATCGACATCCTGAGCGGAAGTCAACACCAGAGTCAAACGGGGGGTTGTTTGTTAGTCAAATGTGTTAGGTCTGGTTCATGGGAACTAAACTTCTACAGTGATGTTATTGGGTCGCCACACTCAGGATGTGATCGCTAGTTGCGGTTAGTCAGTTGGTAAAGTTATTTTTTCTACTCGATTCCTTAAGAACAAGTCGTTAGTGAGAGAAGGCTGGTAACTGTTAACATCTGTTGAGAGGGCTTTGATAGAGAAGTTAGCGAACCACCTCTCTAAGACAGTTTATGAAAATCGTCCAGGCTGTAAATTTAACATTTCGCAGGATCTTAGTTAGGAAGGAACATAGTCAGTCGATGATGATCATGAAGCAATATATTTGTTTACTTTCATCACCATTCATTGTTATTCCTTCCTAAACTATCATTGTATTGATAGTTTTAGTTTTCTTTCATTTACGTCATTGGTGAGAAAGAGCCTTTTTTTTCAAGAAACTTATTTTTCAAGCTTTTCTTTGCGTGTTTTAAAACAGTTCGAGGACTTTTCAGTTTCCAAGGAGGTACCGGATACGCTACTAAAACTCTACAAAA